TGTGGGGAGTGAAGTGATACTGGGGGGCGGGGGGAAGGGGGGAAAAAAAGGGAGGGGAAAACTGTTGCTTCATTAGCACAGGTTGCAACAGCCTAAAGTAGAGTTTATTGAAACCCTTGAGCGTTTTTTCTCCTGAAATACAGCTTCAAGAAAATGATACTGAATCCCCTGATTATAACAATGCTTTTAAAAGTAAGGATTTCCATTAAAGGAACTAAAGCAGAAAAGAAAAATGCTGGGCTAGAAACAAGTTGTTCTGCTCCTTGTACAGAAATTATGCAAAATAATTTTAATTTTACTGGCTGAGCAACTTTAATTGTCTAAGCTTATATAAAGCGTCACTACATTTCTAGAATACCACCTCAAAAACTAAATCTCCTGAAACTGGACAAATACATAGAGGAAAGACACTCTGTCCCTGCATAACTGTTTTGCTAATTACCTCCCCAGGCTTCCTGTTTACCTAGATTCCTCCAACCAAGAGATGCAACTATCTCAAAACTCTGAGTGCTGAGAGGAGCTAGCAATAAAACAAATAAAAAAGGAAGGGAACAGTAAAAGAAAAATGAAGGTACAGAGTGACTATGCCTACTGGTAAATATGTACCCAACAGATCATATTTTCACTAAAGATCAAATTCTTCTAAGTCTTGAAGAACATACTTTTCACACCTGTGCTGCCTAGTAGCATCATCTTTCTACTGATACGGACAAAATTGCTGACTGTATACAAATATATATGTATATATATTTATATATAAAAAGATGTCCTTTGAGCCACATTATCTGATTTCTTTTCAATAAGGAGATACAAAATGTCCAAGAAAGAACAAGAATCTTTAAATTTTGTACCTGGGATTGTTCATTTGAACTCACCTCCATGAAACTGCACAAAAATACTTTTTTAAGCTTTTTTGAAATTGATCCTCAAGAGAGATGAAAATGAATGATACTGAACATTCCTAACATGGTAACAACACTACTTATCAGCAGAGATGAATTAAAAGACGACAGCCAGCGCTGACCATAGGAAAACACCAGGACAGGAGAACAGCGTCACTGATCATACAAAGAACACAAGCGCAGAAGTGGAACAGAATTACACAACAGAGAATCAGGAGGTTGGCAGCTGTTGCACTGTGTTCTTCAAGTCATTACCTCTCCATCTTTGAAAACAAAAAGGAGAGAGACACAGGAAAACAAGAGACTTCTGTACGAATGTTCCAGAGGAAAGGAGACCATTACTAATAATGCAATATGGTTTATACACAGTTGAAGCTGAAGTTCGCTCTGACACAGACATTAGTATCAGCAATACATTAATGCAAACCTGCTGCCACCTCGTGGTACTTTGAAGTAGCTGCTCTGAAGAAAGTAGCACACTTTCCTACACTCCAAAAAACAAACTTTAAATTACTCTCTAATTGAACGAAACTTTTTTTTTTTTAAAGGAACTCACTACTTAAAGTATCTCCTGCTGATAAAATTTACATTTTGCTTAAATTTACCAACACTGCAGAGTGATATGACTAAAAGAAAAAAAGAGCCGAGCATAAGTAATCGTACCTATTAGTGCCCAGATTCAAACCCCCAATGCTCAAGTCAATGCAAAAGCTTTCAGCAGTTTTGAAGTATGTATCTCTCCAAACCAAAGGGAGATGACTGACATCTAGTCCAATAGCTTCAATCAAAAGTTTTCTAGTTTGTAAACACATAGCAGTTCAGTCTTCTGATTGCTTATCTTCCTAGCAAACATGCTGAATAAGGTTTTTTGTTACTTGGAAAACAAGCACAATTTCTGCTGACTTCTTACCACACACATGATGTAGGAGAGGATAGCCCCAGAGGAGCCAATGAGTGCACCAACAATGGTCAGCAAGTTGTTGTTCCGCAGGCAGGCCTCCCTCAGCACACAAAGCCCATCCAGAATAACTGTTCAGGACAGTAATAACTACAGGCATGTCAGCACCTCCAATAGCTGCTGTTAAAGTGACACCCTGGAAAAGGAAAGAAAATACTTGAGTATAAGCTACAACTAAGGATAACATGCAGAGAAGACAATCTGCCTGCAGCACTGAAAAGTAAGTATCAAGTTACTTAATAACCTATTGCAGTATTTTCAATGTAGGAGACATCAAGCTGTGGCCTGAGGATTGCACTTACCAATTCTGCCTTTTGAGAGTGGACAGGAAGGCACTCTACTGTCCTCATACTGTGCTTAGTCACATATTTTTACTCACAAAATTATCTTATCAGATCCACGGAAGTATTCATAGCATTAAAGGATTCATCCTGAGCAGTGTTTGCAAGACTCAGTTTACAGAATAGTAATATTCAGGGTAAATTTTGAAACAGCTGGTGTGAGTAAATGGGGCAAGTTACACACGGGGATAATCTTCCTAAGTTAAGATAACCTGTAGATCCAGTGTTCTTTTAAGTATTCTAAGGATAAACTTCCCAAGTAGTCTTTGAAAATATCAGTTTGTCATACAACAGGCTCCATTAAGTCATAGCTACAAAAAGTAATTATATACATACACACCTGTTCTCTGGAACAGTTCTGGTTTACAGCTAGATTTAGGAAGGTCAGTTGCTACTTGCTACTGCAAGTTAGCATACAGGCGCTATGACAATTGTGACTCAGGATGGTAAAATACAATCATTAAGAGGACACTTGCAAAGCTGAAGAACAAACTGCTTGTTTAATTTGTTTCACCTCCTACAATTCCCCAACTTACCATTATGGCTGAGAGAGCTGACACGGAACCTAAACAAGTAATTCCTGTAGTGTAACTAGGATCAATCATGTAGGGAACCATTCCACCAATGCTGGCAGCCAGCAATCCTGCATTCAATGCATGTCGACCAGGCAAGAGCAGTGGTGCAGAATTCAGGATACCTGCAATCAAATGCATGTTCAGAGATTGACACATACATGCAGGAGAGCCTGTCTCTTGGCTTCAGAGAAGACTGAATACCTCAGCAAAAGAAAAATTAAAAAAAGAAAAAGGGAGAGGTGGAAGACAAAACAAGTTAGTTGAAGCTGAGACCTTGTGCTGACTCAGTAATACTCCTGCTTAAACTCGCTTTACTTCCTAATCTTGCTGAAGTGCTTCAAAATAATCACAAAAATCTCTTCTCCTCTTGAAAAGCCTTTTTTCTTTTTCTAAAAGACGTACTTTCATTCTGGCCCCACGTCTTTGCATGTTGTGTAGGATGCTTTGCAAAAGGAAGCTTTTAGCTGGAACTTCTTAGTACAGGTATTAACTCAGTCTCTCAAAAGCTGTGTGCTTAGCAAAATATGAATATGCAGATAACTCCAAATATAAAACAGTCCTGCCTTCAAATGCTTTAATTTCACCAGTACCCTCAGTCACACAACTTCCCACAGCTTCCCACATTGGCAGAGACTTGAAGGGAAAAGAGGGTTCAGTATTTGTGTGATTCAGTTTTAAAAGACACTTACATATTTATTTTCATCCTAGTCTGTTTTTTTTCCAAACACCACAGCAAAGAGTATAAATAATGCAAGTTTATCTGTTACTTTTGGTGTAAGTAATTACCTACCGAGTGTCTCATTTAAATTTAGCTGAATTCAAGGGAAAGAATGAACTGACGGTCCCAGGTCTAGGAGTCAAAGTGCGTGACCTACCACCTCTAGTTCAATAGTATAGACAAGCTTATTATTATGGTGCTGATATGAAAATGCAAGGGGGAAAAAAAAACAAACAAAAACAAAACCAAAAACAAACAAACAAAAAAAACCCAAACAGGAGAGTGGGCTGAAATAGGCAGTGAAGTTCACCAGGGACATGTGCACAAATCACTGAGGTGGAGGGGGTAAGATGGAGAAGAGGGAAAAAAAAAAAAATAACCAAGAAGAAATAAATGAGTAACTACTTAGCGGAAATACATACTACTGACAAATCCTTCAAAAGATTACAGAGAAGAAAGCTTTCCATCCATGTCATGCTTCCTCCTTTAATGGTTGGCCTCATAAACACTAAAGAAAGCAAACAGATGTTTCCCAAAGGAACTACTGCAAAGCTAGTAACAGGATTAGTAATAGGGAGCTCTTAGCTAGAACTTCTTAGTACAGGTATTATCTCATTCTCTCAAAAGCTGTGTGCTTACAAAACCAAAAATAAATGCAATGAAGAAACCTTCAGGTGCATAAGAATCAGGAATTAGTGAGTATTTAATTTAGAAGGCATATTTACTAAAACGGTAAGAGGTATGGAGCATGGAATTTGCACAGTAGGTGAATAGATAGTGAACTGAAGGGTTTAAAGTGAGACAGTCTCGACTGATACCGCAAGCTACCTACTAAATGAAGCTTGCAATGCTAAGAACAAGATCCCGTAACTATTAGTAGTGCTCACTGAGTCCAGCAACACCAGGGTTTCAATTAAAATGTCTGCTCAGGAATTCAAAGTTGTGATCATAAAAGTTCAATAAAATCAATTAGAGAGACAGTGTCAGGTAGTGTCTTAACAACACTAAAGCAACACTTATTTCTAGACAAGATGAATTGAGGGAAACTTGCATGACTTTGTAATTAATAGCAGTAGTATGTTCAAGCACTGAAACCTTTCGTAACTAAAGCTGTACACAAACTTAACAGAATTAAAAAGAAAAAAGTACGCTCAAAAGTGTACTTATGATACAAAATACAAGGTTGCTTTCCAATTACACAGCAGTCTAAAAGCAGAGCTAAACCCTGGGGGGGGAAAAACCAAACCTTTAACAAATACTTAATGCCGAATGGAAGGTCTCACCTTGCAGTTTTCCATAAGCAACAAGAGAGCCACTGAAAGTCACTCCACCAATGTATGTGCCAAGATACGCCACCACCTTGGTGAGGTTTGCAGCTGGATCAGTAGCGAAGTGAGGATATTCAATTATGTATTCTGCTACACAGGTGAGCACAGCAGCCAAACCAACCAAACTATGGAAAGCAGCCACTAGCTGAGGCAGATCTGAAATCTGGATGCGTTTAGCAATCGTCAAACCTATTGAGATTTGAAGACAGAAGGGAAGTCTTACAAAACACAACAAATCTGTGCAGCTAGAAATTAAGGTATCATGGTTCACTGTGCAATGTATACATACAGACACATGCCTGTTCCAATGGAAGAACTTGTTCTACAACGCTAGAAATTGCTATGGTATTTAACTGAAAGCTGCATGTGTCTATTTTGTGCAATGAGGATATGCAAATTAGAAGATTAAAGCATATCACATTCTTAGAAGCTTCACTAAATATTGAGAAATTCAACATTTTCTGTGACAAAAGCACAGTGTGAAAAAGGGAATTTGGCAGCATTCAGTCAGGAACTGATGTACGAAGTTGGGCAAGTTCATTCACCTCTGCATACCCAGTTTCCCTAACAGAGGTGATGTGCTCCTGCTTTTCCACCAGTCTCCTCATTCTTTACCACATAAGCCCTGGGACTTATGATTCTTTGTTCACATATTTGCAAAATAACATACACAAACCATAAATATAAGTTAGTCAATTCACCTGTGACATGTACAGTATTTTGTGTATATACAGCTTGCATAAATGCACATATAGAGCATATATTGTTTGTTTATAGTATCATACACATACCTATGGTACCACCGAGTGCCACTGCACCTGACATCTGCGACAACAATTCAGGTGAGGGTTTAAGGCCTCCAAGAGTTGCTGCTAAACCTCCTGCAACACCAATCATACCCAAAGCATTTCCAAGACGAGCTGTTCCTTGGGTGGACAGTCCAGCCAGGGCACCAACACAGCATAAGCCTGAGCCCAGATACATCATCTTTAAAATAAGAAAAACATCAATATGCATACCTAGAGACAAATTGCATAACCATTATGAAAATCTTTCTGATTATTATTTAGAAACATTTAAACCAAAAAGACTGATTTCTGTAGTCGCTGTAACATTTAAGCTGTAATTTAGCAAAACTGCCCAATAAATAACAAAGCACCTGGTGCTTTACAGGAAGAAAAAAAAAAACCAAACCTTTTAAAATTTGCAGATTCAGCATTTGGTGTATGACTGCAAGCTTAATCAACTTCAGATTGGTCTTGTGGGAACATACAGCTGATGAAAAGACCATGGCTCATTTGCTATTTACTCCTCAACAGAGTGACCAGTGAAGAAGCATACCATGCTATGAACAGTGGGCTAAGAGCCACAGAGTTATCTTCTTACCTGTTCGATATTATAGCCACCATTGAGAGCAGCTGCATAGCCCCCTACAAATACACCACCAGGAAGTAGGTACAAGTAGTTGTACTCAGGAGGATCTGTGGGACGTTTGAACATATCCAGCATTCTCTGTGTAACTAGAAACCCACCTGGCCAAAGTAAAGGAACAATTTTACAAATATAAAATCTGAAACTAAGCATATGCCAAGCTATAAGAGAAATATTTGGTTAAACCGTATTACCACACAAAGTTAGCAACTGACACCAATATAGCCTCTGAAAAGCTAGAAATCTGGAAACCCACCAGGAAACAAAGGTATAATCAGGGTGAGATCCTGTTGTCTTTTTTAACCTTTGGAGACAATTCATGAAAGGAGTTGGAAAGCCTGGAGGACTTGCTCTGGCTCCATACTCTATGCTGACTGTAGGATACAGCTTAGTTTATGACTGTGTCCTGCTCCCTATCTACTCTAGCAAAAAGCAGTATTTATAAGTGACATTGCACACTTTCTTATCTTTTTTATTAAGGAAGCTGGGACTTCCAAAGCTCGAGTAAGCAGAATTTTGTTCTATGCCACTAGTATATTTTTCCAAGTAGGAAAAGGAATACAACGACAAATGCAATACCATCTTGGGTTATACAGGAAAAGGTATTTCATATAATCATCACCCAAAGGATACTGTAAAAGAAAAACACACATTTAAATGCTTCCCTGAAAAAAGGTTACACCACAGGGTGTGCAAACCAGATATAATAACTACCATGAAAATATGTGGGGGGTGGGGTGGAGGGGATGTTATTTCTTGATGGATGCTCTCAGATGCTATTCCCAGAATAGTATTTCTGGAATCTATACAATTAAAGAGCTAGAAGAAATAAAAGAATTACACAAGTGCTTTAAAGTTACCCTCAGGAGAAAACTTAACATTCATACCTGCAATATTGACTGAAGAGATAAAGGTCGAAAGCACTGCTAGAGTTTGAGGAGTGTTTTCAGGGAGATAGTTTCCTCCCATCAATACCAGCCCACCAACTGCAGTCAGTCCTATTCAAAAGAGAAAAAAGTGTTACTGAATCTTAAAAGGCTCTATACCTATAGCAAGTTTCCTTTCAGCTGCCAAACAGATACCACTCAACTCAAATTTTGATCCCTACTCTACACATTACTATTTAAACAAAGACTACCGTGGTCTTTTTCAGCAATACAAACATGTTTCAAAAGAAAAAAATCAGTACGTGAATATAGTTTTGAAGTACAGTGCCTCAAGCACAGAGTCAACCACCGCATACTTGTTTGATAAAATAAACTTTGCTTTTAGCAGTTAAAGTAGATCAGACTCGTGACCTGTCACATATATATACACAGACACATAAAGTCTTACATATTTACAGAGTTATGAATTTTACAGGTCACTTAGGAATTTTTTCTTTTTCCAACCCTCTCAAAACACATAGTTTGAGGAGAGGAAAAAAAGAATGCAGAAAATATGAAAGACAAGTTATTTTCAGGGCAACATTTTGAAGAGATGGAAGGAAAGATGTGTTCTATGACAGGAGAGACTGCAACACTCCAAGTAAAACAAACTTTAAAGCAAACAGGTTAGGAGTGAAAAATTACTTATAAAAATTAAAAAAACACAACACCATATTTGCCCTTCTTTTGAAAAAAACATACTCTCAGAAAGAGTTTCAGGTGTCCTTGCTATTTATGAAAGTAAACTCAGACATGTGAAGTAGTACTAGGTGCTCTGGCATTTTAAAAGGCATATCAGCAGACTTAAGTCTAAAGTTTGAGTAAAAAGAGCTGTGCCTACTTCAAATAGAAAATAAGCAGTTGTGTGACAGCTACTTACCTGAGATAGCATTAGTCACTGACATCAGCGGAGAGTGAAGAGCAGGAGTCACACCCCATACCGTATGGTACCCCACTATTCCAGCTAGGCCAAATGTTGTCACCATTTGCGTGAAAGCATTATTAGGAGCTACAATGCCCAGTCCTAACATGCTGGCTAAGCCTGCAAGAAAAGCACAGTAACACTTTTCTGTAACTTTTCAATGCTTTCTTACATTTAAACTCTGTACAACAGGAATCCAGTATTGAGCTAAAAGCAAAAGGGAGTTTTGTGCATGGACTTGTTTCAAGATCAGCTGGATCATCTTTGTCAACTACAAGCCTCTTTCGGTGCTAGTATTTCTTTTACAATGGAAAACAAAACCATAAATACAATACACACATCTTTGTTATGCATGCACACAAAGCAGCAAAGAGGTTTTCTACACCAACACTGAATCCTGTCACTCTCTGTTCTGTAGCAAAAACGTGGAAGAGTCATAATCATGTTGAGATACTACTTGGAAAACTCAAAGCATGCATATGAAACACAGAGGTTAAAATTCAGAATACTCAATTCATTAATTACCTCATGCAAAAGTTCTGGAGAACAAAGAATATCAAATGACAAGAGCAGCCAACATTTATTTGCCAAGACAAATGTGCTATTCTCAGTACTTCAGTAGACTGTGGGCATTTAAGTCTCATACAATACACTGAAGTTTGAAGAAAGCAAAGGCATTGAATTGATTCTGCTGCAAAGTATGTGCACTGTCCCTAGCAGGAGTCCTTCAGAATTTTAAGTATTTTAATGAAATTTAAATAAAGCCAAACATACATACATGCACACAGCATTAGTCAGCACTGTTTGAAATGTTAATACTTTTGGTTAAATTTCTAAAATTTTATTTTCCCCTCTCAAAAGCAATTATTCACTACACTGAGTTTGCACTAGGATACATCAGCCAATCAACTGCTCTCCCAACTAGTTATTAAATTGAATAAGCAAGATGACGAGTCACTTAAAAGCATTAGCCAAATGAGGAGCACTCTACACTGATTCTCCAACTCTGGAAGTTGCCTACCTGCTGTGTATACAGATGCACTAGTCATAGTTTTTCTAAAAGGTGTAATAGTAGCTGCTTTTTCCGCCTCCAGCTCTGCTACAGTCTTCTGCTTCACAGGGGCTCCTTGAGGAATGTTATTTGGTGGAGGTGCTGGGAAAATCACCTTGCCATCCTGACAAGAGATATTTACAGTTATCCCTAACATTGCAGATGCTTTATAATTAGAGGAGCCTACTTTTCTTAATCCTGCAACTCAGATAAGTCTTAACATCCTACAGCCATGCCACAGGAACATTTTCCTTTTCTGCATGAGCAGAAGTTTGCAAGGCTGAATGATCAGTACAGCCTGACCAAGTCAACCATACTGCTTTACACATTTTTCAGACAAGATTTAGTATTGGTGTCCAAGAGCACCTGGTGGAAACACAGCACAAGGCATGAAAGCAGGAACCAAAACAAAAAGGTAAAGTTCCTTAAATGGAGAACGTTTATGCAAAAACAAAACAGGGTCTTGGAAAGAGCAAAATCTGCTACAGATCTGAACTGTAATCAGAGCCTGCCCAGACCTCAGCTAGGTACCAAGCACAATGTCTCACATTTCTTGCTGTTCTCCAGGCCTCTGGAGAAACAACTGGTGAAGCTGTCAGACCTGAGATGTACACACTTCAGTGTTCTGGGAGAGCTGAAGTCAATGCAAGCCTCCTCCAGAGTAGATATCATAAGCATTACAAAGTGTTGGCAATATTACACAGCAAAACTCAACAGAAATTAACCCTTTAACTAAACTGCAAATTATTATTTCCTAATAGTTGCAGGAGGAGAGTCCATACTGGTCCATACCCTAAGTTTGTACTTTATTATTTCCTAATAGAGCTTAAAGTATCCTGCATATTCTAGTTCCACCATTTTTTTCTGAAGTTACTCTTATAAGAACAGAAACATGTATTTATTTAAAATAAAAAAGCAAACATCAGGTATTTGTTTAACCATGGCAAGATGACAAAAGCAAAAAGGTTTCCCTTCACAAAAATGGACAGAGGAACATTCAGCTGAATACAAACACAATTGTCCACAGTGTCTACCAAGCCACATCTGAAGTCTATTGGCAAGAAGTATCTTTGAATGCATTTGAAAGAGACAACACTGACAAATGTAGAAGTATGTACTCACAAATTAAGAAGGGAATATTTACTAACTTACCTTCATGACTACAGTTCCTCTAATAACATGATCCAGAGTCCCATAATCAAATTCATCTTTTGGATCAAAGTAGAAGTTTTCTTTGTCAGGACTAATAGCCTTTAGGAGTTTGATAATATTATTGGAATACAGAGTACTGGCCTGAGTAGCCATTCTGCTAGGCAGGTCTGTGTAGCCAATGTGTGTAACACCCTGAAAAAAATTCAAGTAAAACATTAGGAGATTAGTTCAATCTCTGAAGAAGCAGCATCTCTTCCAATATATCCTTCTGGAAATACATATCCAAACTGTTTCACTTATTTCTGTTTTTAACCCCAGCTAAAACTGTTACCTGCAGCTCTAACATCATTAAATCAGGGGAAGATTACTCACAACAGTTACAGAATTCAACACAGTCAAATCCAACAGCTTAAACGCTATTAGCAACAAGTCTACACAGACAGGGAGATGTATTGGTGCACAAGCTTGTCCTCTCCAAATCCTACCATTCCCTCAGACCTTAGCTTCTTAAAGCAACCAGGTAACAGATTATCCTGCTCAATGCTTGGCATCTTCTCAGTCCTTCTGCAGGGCAGGCACTGGAGGCAACTTTCTATATGACAGAGGACTGAAAGGAACTTCCTCAGAGGTAGCCAGCTAGCTGTGCAAGTAATATGACCAGGTTCACATTTATGTAAAAGATGTAACATAGTATCTCCACACTGTTTAAAGAATAAACATGAGTATACCTGGCTATCAGGCCCTTGAGCTTTTGGAAGGTACGGGAAGCTGAGGCAGGCATACACTCTTCATGTTCAAGCCAGCTTGTGTTAAAACACTGCTCCCACAACTTACAGGTAAGATCCATACGTGCTTCCAGGAATTCTGGCTTCTTAATGCAATGCTCCGGCACACTGCTAATAGTTCTGCACTGCTGCTCTTTTCTACAGCTCAGTTCCAGTACACTATATCCAGAGGTAATATTCCTCTGACTAAAAGCGCTCCATATAAATTCTTCATGCAAGTGTCTGCTTATTTCTGTTTTACATACTCTAATTTCAGTTTTTAAGCAATGACATCAAAAGCCCTAGAAAACCACAAAGCCAAATACAATGCATGACTCATGACAGACTGACACACAGCCCTGCTTATATTAATGACAACCATGTCAGCAATATGTCCTACAGGCTTCCCTAGTAACAGCATTATGTCCTTACATTACCAAATAACAACCTTGGAAATCTGCTACTTTAAATCTCATCACCCAAATTTCTGCAACTGCTAGCAGATTTCTCACAAATACCAAAAATAAAACCCCAAAAGCAGAAAAACAAGCTCTCAACTGAGCCAATGAACACGGGAGCAAAACCAAAGTAGTTAGTTCAGTCCAGGGCAAAATTGCTTACTTTAATGAACGAATTCATGCTACTCCTAGTTTGGGTTACAAGCGGTTTGGACACTCTAGGGCAGACACACTCACGTTGGCAAAGCTAAAGACATACAAAGACAGCACTCTCCTGAAGCTGAAATTATATTGAGCTAAGCCTGAGACTTTGCACTTAAGTAAACAATGACACAGTCCGAACCTGGTTAGCTTACCCATGACAGGGACTGTTAACTTCCACTTGTGGGAGGTGACAGGCAAGTCAAAGAAGCTATTGCTACTGCTGTCTCATTAGGTAGACCAAGAAATAGATAGCAAACCACACCCTCAACTCAGCAGAGACGTATCACTGGACTTGGAAGTCTAAGAAGCAACACTTGCGTACTCAACCATGAAATTAACACTATACAAAGGTGTTTGTTTCTTTAAAAATCTTCAACTTGTTATACATAGAGATGACCAGTGACCAAATGCAAATCTAAAAGAATACTTAAGCCCAAATAGCAAAATTAGCTACTAATTTTCAGTATAGTTTACCAAACACAATATGAATTCATGCAAACTGCGAACGATCTGCAGATTAAAATGCTCACCTTATGAACATACATTTCTCCAGGCTTTGTAGTCTCAATGTTTCCTCCAGCTTCTGCAGCTAAATCCACAACAACTGAACCTTCCTTCATTGATTCAATCATATCTTTCTTAAACAAGATGGGCGCTTTTTTGCCTGACAAGACAAGGCATAGTAAGTTAAACACAAAATAGGGCTTTTTACCTGCAGAGCTCAGGAGATTTCTCCCCTTCTCTCTCTCTCTCTCTAAACCTTATTTTTGTAAGCAAAATTTTCAAGTAATCAGTACCTAGGATGAAATGTCACAGAAGGTTTATACAGGCAGAGAGAAGAGATGCTAGAACATCTTGCTCCCAAGCATATAAAAAACGTATGCATCGACAGTCTACCAAAGATGCTGGCAAATCCAATTTTGTCCTCAGTAAACTGACAACATCCAATCTTACAACTCAAGTCATAACAAAAAAAAAAACCCAAACCAAAACACCACACACCACATCGTAAATTATTAAAAGACAGATGCTGTGCAACACAAGGCACTAAAACCTAAGCTCTACCTTACTGTTTCAATTACAAGACAGTACTGTTTCAACTGGACTTGCTTCAGTGCACAAGCTGGATGGCAGAAGTAGCAGTGATGCAATAAATATGCAAGAGAATTATATATTCTTACTTTCTTACTATCTACTCCTTGTTTAATAAGAAAACATGATGATATTGAGTCAAAGACTGCTAGTTTGTGAAAACAGAAGTAAAAAAAAGCACACACATTAAAACCGGCATTTATCAGGGAAGGGAAAAGGTACACGCTCACACAGACACAATTCATTAACACCTCTGTTTTCACTGCAGGCACAGCTCCAAAACATGCCAACTTACACATGATAAATGAAAATTAGCATCTTCCACATAAAACATACCTGGAATAAGCGCTGTAGTAATGATAATATCAACATCTTGACACTGCTTGGCAAAGAGTTTCATTTCAGCTTCAATAAATTCTTTGGACATTTCTTTAGCATAACCACCTTGTCCCTCCCCAGATTCCTTTAAGTCTACTTCCAAAGGCTCAGCACCAAGAGACTTGAACTGTTCCAGAGCTGCAGCTCTAGGAAAAGAAAATTGCAGGGGAAGAAACAATCACTACTTTAAAAATCCACCACGACTTTTCTGGTCTTTTTAGTAGCAGTCTTCAGACAAGAGATCTAAAACTTATTCTTGGATTAAGAAGATCATAACTGAAGCCCTCAGCTTTCTGTATTTAGTGAAAAAAGTAAGTGCATCACTAATTTTAGGTACCTAATGAAAATACTTGGATAAGGAATGAAGGCAGCCTACAGTTTCCTGTACAGTCAGCAGAGTTGCTCCAAGACAAGTCTCAATGCTGGGAGCTTAACTGTTGACTAACTTGGCTCACCCCTTTCTCTTGTCATGACTAGGTAAATCTACAGCCTAAACTTAGATGCCTAAGCCAGGGGATAAATACACAACATGTGGCTCTGTCTTTAACCTGTGAAATGGAAAATACTACTAAGTCTTATTTTCACAGAGAAAATTGGCTTTGGGGGTGGTGGTGGTGTTTTCGTTTTTTTGACAGTTATCCTGTAAGTCTGTAATTTATTTTGCACCACATGGTATCACAGTAAATAATGACACTAAATTTCAGTGTTAGGCGAACATTTGCAACATGCAGAGGATTTAACACAAACATTCTTGCACACCAAGATAAAAGCATACAGGATGTTTAACAAGGGACTTAAAAAGAATCTGAGAAGTTTTAGACAGATTTTGATCATGCTTTTAAGAAAAATAAACTCTTTCCAGTTTGTTTTAAAGCATATGCAGATTTTCTAACAAACCAAAGTAAAGGTTTTTTCATATTGCACATTATAAATCTGGAGATATATTAATTTTCATTCTTTCATACTAGATATAGCTAAATAGCACTAGGTATCACTTCTGCATGAAAACAAACATGTATAAGTAATGTTAATGCAAAACCAGTATTAAGCACATACAAATTCAATACAAGAAGGCCATTTAATAGGGAAAACTTTAATGAAGTGTGCAGTCCCTGTAGCTATAAAAAGAAAAATGTTTGTGCTCTGTAATTTTCAAGAGTCTATTGCTCTAAAAAATTACTATGGGACAAAATAATTCTTCCGAACATAAAGAGGAGACTCGAGGAAAGCAGCATTTGAAGTAGCTTCAGCTGCAGTTTCTGTTCTTTCATCTTGAGTTTCTCTCCTTCAGCAGATTAAAAGAAGTGTCTCTCCAAAGAGTTCCTAGCTGGCCTCTCTGGGATCCGGAGAGTAGAGGTGAATGAGAGTAGGCAGCTATGAACGTGGATCAAGCCAAGCTATAAATGACGTCATAAAGATTACTTCTTTCCTGTTTTCCCTGTGTCCCCAAGAACAGAGACATGAGATCCTGGATAAAAGCCCTAACTTCCTCATTTTCATAAAGCAATGATTTTTTTATTCATATAGTTCTGAATTATGTAATGAGAAGGACTCTTTGGAAGGTTTGGTTGTTTTGAGGTATAAAGAACAGAGGAATAATGATGATGTAAAAATGGTAGCAAAGGAATTGTGACTCAGTGCAGTACAAGTGCTTTCACTGTCATACAGCTACAAACTACTTAATCTTAAAATAATTTCAGATTGCTATTACCATTTTCACACACCTACCTAGTATCAAATCCACGAACCACTGCACCCATCGATTTAGCTGCTCCTGCAGAAGCCAGGCCAGCAACTCCTCCTCCGATGATCAAGACCTAGAATGATACCATCATCATGCTTGGAACATAAACTAAAAGTAGAGTTGGTTAGAAAAGCAGCAGCATTGTATGGCTTTCACACCTGCCAGGTCTCATTAACCAGCCATTTAAACAAGTTACCTTAGGACACAGATCCCAAAATTACTTTGGTAAAGCTGCCCCGTGAATCTAACAGTTTAAAAGCTGTAACTCCTAACTTCACTTATCTGAGAGCCAAGTCATCTGTAGCTAACAGTTTATGCAGGTAAGTACAGGTTTTCGCCTTAATTTTTCATATTTTTTTTCCTTGCCTAATTCTACTTTCGTTCCTCTTCAACCCAATCCACCTGCAATTCCAATCAAGCAATCCCTTCCATCACAGCCTTCAACAGACCAGAAATCCCGACATCTCTGATCCATCCATGTATAGCTAGTCTGATATTTAAAACTAAGCAAACTTAAATAAAACTTGAATTGTTCTATTATTCCCAAAAACACAACGCTACAGGTAGTGAACAAAAATTGATATGGGAATCACTATAGGGATTTCTAAAGTCTCTAGAACTAGCCCCAAGGCAGGAAAAAAGCCTTTTAACACAGTTTCAGCAGTGGTTAGCTGTGCTCAGGAACTCACATACTCTTCTGCCACAGTATCTGTTTAATTGCACATACCTTTGCTGGAGGAACTTTACCAGCAGCTGTGATCTGACCCGTGAAAAATCGACCAAAGTGATTTGCTGCCAGTACCACAGCCTTGTAACTGTCAATTAACGACAAACACATATCAGTATTTTCCCAGGCTCAGTACAATTCCATTCATGACAGCAATCAAAAGGATGAACATTTGACCATAGCATGCGTAGGATGAAGCAAGTTTAATATTTTACTATTGAGCACAACTTTAATAGTCTGTCTTTGTTTGTATGTCTTGATTTTTTTTTTTAAATAATGGAATGCATTTTCAGACAGAATTTTTGGACTGCAGTATAATGGATGTCCACAACTATTCACTCTCTCAAATAAAATTTTACCTGAATAACAAATGCATAACTTGTCAAAAGTTGACTTTGTGGTCTTGGAAGCTACCTTCAAAGGCTGTAACTTGAGGCTTGTTAGGGAAGGAAACATGAACAAGCAATTGCAAAACCCAGAGTAGTTTGGCAGTAAGCTCACTTAGACAAGTAAGCACACATTCAAAAGAGACGCTCTGACCCTAACTCTGCAGAGCTGTACAGCTTAGGGCAAATGGCTTAACCTTGCTCCTTCTTTTGTCCTATCTGCTTTGTAGCCACCCAAGAACGACTGGCTGAACACCAAGTTAACATCAGTAGAGCTATCTGAAAATGCAGATTAATGTGTGATTATGTCTTTTCTTAACAACAGTACACATTTTCTTGCAATTTTTATTAACAGTGTTGTGGTTCAACAGTCCCATTCCACTCTCTTTCCTGTCTCTAGCAGGGACATATGGAGGTCCGTATGCTATAAAATTAGTTCAAATTTGGAATACAGCTTGTAGAGTTTACACCTTTAAATACATTATGAATTTCTGTATTTTAGTAAAATTACACAGAATGAAAACACAGAGAAGTAACCAAACATGTATGTGGATGCATACTGCTGCTGTCCAGCAGCCTTCTCCAAGGGTTATTATGCCTCACAGACATCATTTATGTAAAAAAAAAAAAAAAAAAAAAAAAAAAAAAAAAGGCACAAAAAAACCAAATATTTTTAACCTACTAATAGAAGTCAGCTTGACGACAACAACATTTTCATTCACTACAATACCTACAATACCAGTTGCAAAGCATGAAGATGCCCAAGAGTATTTGGTCTTTTGTTTATATCTGCCATGGCGATTGCATTCATACTGAGAGCTGTTTGTGTTAGCTCCCAACAACATCAGATCCCAATGACAGACAATCTGTGTTCAAGCTCTCTTTAGGATATCCTTGAGCCTGCTCTGGTCTAGTTCAGACCAAAAAGGCACTAGACAAAGCAGTCCAGGAATTCAGAGAACTCCCATTTTGTTTATTTATTTATTTTTTAAAAAGCCTTGCTCTGATTGACTGCAAAGCTGACCATAAGCAACTTAAGAAGTTGTTTGGCACCTCCAATAGCTTCATCCTGCTTGAAACAGCTGTATGAAAATAGAGATGCAGAATTGGTTTAGAAAGACCTAATATCAAATACATAGCTTTTAATCCAGCTATACTTACTCAAGCTGGGGAAAAAAAAAATAAAAGAAAAAAAGTAAGATTCATACCCAGCAATGTTGGCCATGGAGCTAAGTGCATCATATCCCTGAGCAATGGTGACCCGTGGAACCTGATCCATAGCTAAGACAGTAGTTTTTTTTTCTGCAAGTTTTTTTAGGAGGTCTGGATTTTGTGCTGGGTAGATAAAACTAATCAGGGTAGCCGCCGTCTTGAAAAGATCTGCCTCATGTACACCTAGAGCCGAGTTATATATAGGAGCCCTCACCTGAAGAGAGAGAAGTTTCCAAATTAATCAGAGGAAATAAATCAGAACACACTCCACTTCCTTTCTCCCAGCTTGCAGTCTGTCCATTCCCCTCCACAAAGTACACAAGGAAGGAAGTATATCAAAGGCTGTTTACACTACTGAACTGAGTAACCGCACTTCTTAACTGCGGTCCACATATTAGAATTAGCTCTAGGCAGATTGGTGACAGGGCAGTAATAAGTCAGCACATACCTTCACAAAGATCTGATGGCTTCTAACCAGCAGTTACTGGCTTTTATGAGAGAGCTGCCCCCAAACCAGCTAATTTTCAGCAAAATTATTATGGAACAGATGTGCCAATTAAGCTCTACAGGCTAAGAATCACTAATGAGGTTACAATGCACCATTACATACAGGGAATTTCAACTGTGAAGTCCAGCAGATACTCATCTTGATCTGTAGTCACTTCTTTTGAGTTTCTTACTTTTTTTCAAAAAGAAACTTACTTAAAAGGGTTGTTCACAAACTAGCTCACAGAAATTCTATGTTCAGTCCTGACAGGATAACTTCAAATACAGCAGTTAAAGGAAGCCTCAACATCAAGTTTAAGGATTCGAAGCAACACCCTCTAAAGAGTAACTCGAGTTCTATGTTTCTAATTTTGGAGCGAAAGTTTCTTAGAGCAGGGATCTTATCTGATTAGAGTCCAGAACTAATCTGCCTCACTCTAGAAAACACAACTCCTCCAAGGTAGTTAAAAACTTGATACGAAATTTTCAGCAGTTTTTTCAATGCTGCCACTTACTAGTTTATTACTGTAGGTGTACACCTGAGCTATATAAAAAAAAAAAAAAGACAGACTAAAATCGAATCAGAACTTCGAATGGAAAATATTAATTTAAAGGAGCTTACTTACTGAACTTTCAGCAGACTATTACAAAATATTGACCTATATGTTTCTCCAAAAAGAAGGTAATAAGAAATATATTAATAAAGCAATTACTTTGACAAT